CTTTTCGATTTGTCGTCCTCCTCCGTTTGGATCTTGTTGATGAGGAGGGATCCTTCTTCTATCTGTTTACGTTCTCCGCGACGGGCTCCGTAGTCGATTTCGTTGATCTCCGGCGTCGAATCGGTGTTGCGCCATGAATAATCGATCTCAGCAAGCATCTTGGTGATGGTTACGGCCAATTTGTGGTGCTGCTTTTTCCGGTACAGTTGTTTCCATTGCGGCCACCCTATACAAGTTTCACAATTCAGAATCAGAATCAGAGAGCTGCAGAGCAAAGCAGAGGAGAGAGAAAGAAGAGAGAGAGTGAAACCTAGAAAGATGAATCTCCAGAAGTAGCACGTCAAAAAGTGTACAAAATATTTCCCTGCCACAAAGATATAGAATTATATTTTTTTTTTCTTTTTTCTTGGTGTGTGATAAGGAAAATATTTCATGAGTGAATTCAGAAATTGGATCCCAGATCAGTAGTTGGCATAGAATTTTGTTACAGATAAGTAGGAGAAAAGAAAAAAAAAGTTAAGAGTATTAAAAGAAAAAAATTAGATTTTAAAAACAGAAATCAGTTTTTGAAAATTAATCTTTTCTTTTTTAAATCTGTTTTTAAAAATCAAAAATTGAAAAATTGAATTGCTTATGAAACCATTTTTTAAAAGAAAAATTAAAAGCCAAAAATCAAAATAGAACATATTAAACGGTCCTAAATTTCTAAGTTAACCTCTTAATATGGCACATTTCAGTATTTATTTCAATATATACATATAGAGAAAAATCAATTGGTCAATTAATCAATTTAGTAGCTTAGTCTGTAAAATTTAGAAACTTACAACAATTTGAACGGCAAAAATTAAGTCCATAATCAGGATTATGTTGTGCTTCTAAATCTTCATTCTTCTTGTTGTTCAAAGCACCGGAGCTTTCAGAGTCATCTTTGTTGGAAGATCCAAAAGTTTTAAAATTATATTTATAAATATCTTCACTGGGGAGCACTGTTGAAAGAAAATACGAAAATACGAAAATGAATTATGCTCAAAGAAAATCAATAAATACAGTCTTAAAACCAAGTTTAAAAACTCATCAACGGATGTAACGGACTAATAAATTGTTCAAAATTAAATCCACAGAAGGACTCAATATAATCTAAATTTATTTTGGATAAATAACCAAATCTGGACACAAATAAGGTAAAGAAATATCCAAATTCACGTTATTCCACATCTACTCCGGAATCCATTTTGATAAAATTAAAATTTCAACGTAAAAAAATTGACTCCATTTTTCTTCCTATTAATCCAAAGGAATATCGATTGAATGTTTTCTTGAGCAAGGGAGTGAGAATTCTTACCCGCATAGATAATTTTTTCCAAGGATCCCATGGAGGATCCGCTTCGAAAAATGAGTGGCATGTTTGCGAGCACATAGAGAGCCGTTTTGCCGTCTTCATCCTTCATCTCCAACAGCGATTTATCGAAATCAACCAGTCTCAGAACCACATCTATAACCGCGCATCAATGGCGGATCAGAAAACCTAGACTCAGAGATCAAAAGAAAAAACGTAAAAAAAAGAACAGAGACGAACCGAATTTCTCGCTCTGAATAGCCGCGTGAATGATCGGAAATTCCTTCTCCTTGGTCCAATTTATCGGCGATCGAGAAAAGTAATCTTCACAATCTTCCAGAATGTACTCGACGATGTGAAGGTGTCCGAATCTGACCGCTCTGAACAGAGGCGTTTCGCCGTAAATGTTCTGCGCCAACAGATCCTCTTTTTTGTACTCCNTCCAGAAAGTACTCGACGATGTGAAGGTGTCCGAATCTGGCCGCTCTGAACAGAGGCGTTTCGCCGTAAATGTTCATCGCCAACAGATCCGTTTTTTTGTACTCCACCAGAAGCTTGACGGCAGCCAGATTCCCGACGGCGGCAGCTTCGTGCAACGGCGTATTTCCAGCACTATTCGTCCAGAACTCTCTCTCCACCTCTGAGGTCGCCGCCAGCAGAGATTTCGTCGGCTCTTCTTTTCTGCTGTACACGGCGAGATGCATCGCCGTGTCTCCGCCGGTTGTCATGGGAAACATGATTTTCGCCTTGTGGATCAATATTTCTTGAGGCAGATTCTTCCATTTCCCTTTTATCGCAGTCCTGTAAGCGCTTCGCATCTCGTCCAAGAAATCCATTCTTCCTCTGATCTATGATTGTATCGCTCTCTCTGAAAATGATATATCCATTATATAAAGGTTGCTCCATCGCCATTTTTGAACAACATCTTCCTTTGCTTCTTCAAGTAATAAAGCTTCTATTCTCTCTCTTTACTTTCTCTCTCCAGAATTTGTATTCACTCTTCGTTTTTGCTGTACATGCCTTAACTCGCTATGATCACAGATATTTTGTCCCTAAAAAATTAAATTTGTTGCTGCACACTATATATATAAAATAGACTGTACTCAATAGGTTTTATAAGTGAATGATAATTGGGGTAATGGATGATGTATATAGAGGTATACCCTTGTGTTAATTTTCAGTATAATAAATTAATGAATTTGTAATTTTGTGTCACTTACAAAATTGAATTTTGTACCTCATGCAACGTGATAGAATAGTGTTGACTTCAGCTGGTCTAAACTTTGAAAAATGACTGAATAGGTCAATCACCTATTAAACAAATAATTAAAAGTTAAAACGCCATTATAAAAGTTTTGGGATTAAACCTATAATTTAACCTAATTCTTTTTAGGATTAAACTTATATGCTTATCGGTAAGTAGGTTACTATTAAAAAATTGACGACTATTTATCTTATTTTATCTCTCTTATTTTTTTTAGGTTGGAAATATCTATTGGTAAACATCAACGACTTATTATTTTTTAAATAAGATTTTTTGTTCTTAAAACCGAACCATCTGTTCTTTGCTTTTCTCCTAGCTAACTGCCTATTGTACTACAACTCAGTATTTCTTATACGAAATATATCACTTTTGCATCGTGTTACATCATCATCGTACTAATAATTTTTGAAGAAGAAGTTATTCCTTCCCAACAATAGAGGTAAGTTTTAATGATTCGAATTAGTAAGGAACAGAATTCTCACCAAGTCTTGAGTTTTCAATACGGTTACGTTCTAACTTTTGGTCGCTTTGTTTTTATTTTTATCTCATTTCTTATTATTAAAATTTTAATATTATATTTCTCACTAGTTCTTCTCAAATATAGTCATAGATTTGTATTAAACGATTTTAATTGGACGATGATTCTAACTTTATGCTTAAAACATTATTCACTAGTAATATGCTAAGGTTAGCAACAATATATTTATTTTGTTCTCAATTCTTTTTTATATAAAGTTATTACTTATATGCTTTTTTTTTTTCCTTTTTACTAATAAAGTGACTTACATTGCTTCTAAACTTTAAATTGTGTTTTTTTATATTTGGTCCATGATATTAAATTTATTTTTATGAAAATGTGAATATGACAATTAACAATTTTCCGGTAAAAAGAAAAAGAAAAAGAAGAATTTTAACAATTTTTATTGTTAGGTAAAATTATTTCTATATTAATATAAATGGTTTGAAATATTTGATTAATAGCATTTTCTTAAATTGGCTTCCTACACGAATCACAATCCGACTTTTGCTAACAAACTTTTAAAAATTTCTCATTTTAAACCCTCGTGAAATCAAGAAAATTTTAAAAATGATTTAAACATTTGAAATTATTGAAATTAAACATCTTTTTTCGAAACTTTTGAATAAAATAAAATAAAATAATTTATACTCTTAATCTTAATTCATTAATAGAAAATTAAACTATAACAAGATTAAAAGTATTAAAAACAAAGAAACAAATAAGAACGAAAAATACACATCAAAGATAGCATATACCTCCAACCAAGAGGCTGTGAGTTCGAATCTCYTCCCCAACATGTTGTACTTAAAAAAAACATAGTTCAACTGAATAAAGTATCAAAGTTACGAGCAAAGATAACAAATAACAAAATATATTTGAAATTTATTATATTCGAAATCATCAAAATTCTGGCAAAAATGGCTCAAGAAGGAATATATATGTGTATATGGACTCCATAAAATATAAATTTATTTACATAAAATAAAATAAAATCTAGGCACAAATAAAATAGGTAAAGAAATATCCAAATTCAACGGTTAGATGCCTACCAAGATAACTAAATAAAAATAGAACAATATATAGGTGTCTAAAAAAATGACTATAGCACCGAAATATTTTCGTCGCTCAAACTATTTATTTTTATCACAAGTTTGATAGTTGGAATGGAGTCGTCAAAGGACTCCAACGATGAAAACCCTAGCATCGCACATAATTAAGATGGCGACGAAAGGCCATTTTATCACATTACTCAACGACTAAACCAGCTTTTATCGTATAATTTTGCTAAACATCCATTTTCTCGTAGAGATACCTATATTCTTATCTTTGCTAACAATTTCATAACTCTTTACTTTTAAAAATTAGAAGAAAAAAAATTCTTATTTTCTATATTATTTTCTCCTATTTGTCAAAAATATAACGATCTGAGCAATAAATAAATATGTTGATCCATGATACATGAGTATTATTAAAAATATGTATAAATTTATCTTGTCCCACCAGCCAAATTCTCCTCCAGCGGGGAAATTATTAAGAGATATGAAAACTAACTAATAAAAATTTTCTCTTTTCGATCAACTCTGGAATCCATTTTKTAAAACCTTATTATAGTTCAACTCAGGGGTGAGCATCGATGGGTCGAAATTTTATTTTTGTTCTTTTTTAACGTTTCTGTACGAACCGACTGTTTAACTAACGGTTCGATCGTCGGTTTGATCGGTTTCTAATAGATGTTAAACTCGAAAAAATGAACAGCTTGGTGTGACTGAAATGCAGATATCTTAGGGAAGAAAGAGAAGAAGGAAGGAAGAAGGAGAAAAAATGGAAGAGGAGAAGACAGTGGGAGGAGAAAAAGTAACAGAGAGAAATTGAAGAGATGACTATTAAATAGTCACGTAAGTAGGTAAAGAAATAGGTAAAAAAAGAAAATTAATAATAACAAATAAATAAAATGATAATTATAAAAATAAATAATCACGTGAAATTATTATTATTWTTTTTTTTTACACTTCTCATGTCGCACGTGGCTAATGCCATTCTTTTTTTTTTTTTCTTTTTAAGTATTCTTTTTTTTCCCTCCCTTTTTTTTCTCCCACTTTATTTCTCTCGTTTTTCTTTTCCTAACTCTCGCCGTCTTCCTCTTTTCATTCAATCTTCTCTTAATTACCATTTATTTTAAGAGAAATGCTCTCCCTGTGGTAGATATTGGTATGAAATTAATTTTTTTTAAACTATAGGTCGATCAGTCCTYTGATATTGGAAGAATCGACCGATCGACTAGTCGATTTTCTACTGAGAAAAATCGATGCTGATCGAGTCATCCCTCAAAYCGATCGACTAATGTCGGTTCGATCGGTTTTAGTCAGTCGAATCGGTTTTCGATCTTGTTTGATCACGTCTARTTTAACTGGTTAAGATATATGTTCGACGGGAGATCATATGTTAGGATCTCCTCTATGGGTGTGTTTGGGAATAATTGTAAAATTGAATGATTTWAGAAAAATATTTAATTACAATTGATTTTTATAAAATTACTTTGATATTTGGTTTCACGTTTTAAAATTGGTTTTTAAATAATTAAAAATAACTTTAAAATTATTGATGTTTGGTTAATTTTAAAGTATTTTAAAACTATCACATTATTTAAAAAGACATTATATTTAATAATACATTGAAATAAATAAATTATTTTTATAAGAATACCTTTACAATTAATTTATTACTTCATAAATATCTTCATTAAATTTCTTTCATTTGTTTAGTTTTTTTTTTCTCTCTCTCCCATCTCCACCATCATTCCTCATTTCCCTATAATACTTTTGTAAGAGTGAGGGTTGAGCCCCATTCTGTCGGCCTTGAATGGTCGAGTTTGACGCGGTTGACCATGGGTGGTCGAGTCATGTGATCGGTTTTCGGGTGGTTGACCTAAGATGGTCGAGCCTTGGATAGTCGTTCGAGGAGGGTCAGACTTGGGATAGTCGTCCCAAAGTGGTCGATCTTGAGATAGTCGTCCTAGGATAGTCAGGTTTGAGATGGTTGGCCCGACGTGGTCAGGATGAGGGTCCAAGTTAGTCAAATTGAGTGGTCAAATTGAGTGTGGGTTTGTATTGGTCAGCCCGAGTTGAGAGACTCGGCATGTGTTAGTTTGGGCTAGTCGTCCAAGGTTGGGTTGTCTTAAGATGGTTGTGTAGGGGTTACCGGGTGCACGTGGTTGGCCTAASTAGGTTTGGATTGATCTACCCTGGTTGTTCGACGTGGGTTAGCAACATCAATCAAATTTCTTATTTATTAGGATGATATTTACCAAATTGCAGGAATGAAATCCAACGACGAACATCAAACTTTGCAATCTCATTCATCTCCTACAACTTTGTCAATCTCCTTTCCATTTCTTACTCTACTGGTCTCACTTATTTATTATAATTATTTTACAACTTTTACCATTTTTCCCTCTAGAGACTGATCACTTTGTTAATTAATTATTTTATAGTTTTATGTTTTTTTCATTTACATTACTAATAATTTTTATTCTAATAAAAAATTGTATACTTTTTTATTTGATGTGATTTTATTATAAATTTATATTTAATATTTTAATTTTACTTTGTTATTATTAATTATATCAATAAATTTTTAAAATAGAATTGACTTTTAAATATTAGAATAATAATATTTTATATTAAATTATGATTGTCACAACCCCCCCCCCATTCTAGTAGTGTTATAATAAAAAAGTATTTAGAGTTGATGTAATTCTTTTTAATTATGTATTATTTATTAATAAATAAATTGTTATAATAACAAATATTTATAATTAACAATAATATAGTAATAGGCACACTAATATATTTGTAATAATCTAGAAATTTGGCATAATAGTAATATTGTCATATATATATGATTCCAATTTGAGACCATTTTTTAGCAAACAACAAAAGGAATAACATTTCCTTTTATAATGATTCCAAATGATTTATTTGATTTTTATTTCCATTCATTCCCATTATAAGTAAACCAGAACTAATTATAATAAAATGACATTTATCAGAGGCCAATTAAAAAAAACTTATTTCAATTTTGAAGATCTATTATAAATATTTTAAAAAATAATCCAGAAATATATTAGTAAGATCAGCTAATCCGTAAAATAAGAAATAATAAATATAAACACGTCAAACTCAAGTAATTGATAACGGCCATCTTCAACTAAGAAGCTGTAGGATGGAAATTTCTAGAAAAAACAATAACTATAAATACATTGACAAATAAAATATAAATTCTTTTGTTCTCATGAATCCCAATGCAAGGCAGCGATGAAAAACCAAGCAACGTTCCTTGATAAAAATTTTGGAAGGAAGCTTCCACAAAATGGGGCGACGAAACCCATGGGAAGGAACTTCAAAAGATTGTGGCGATAACTCCAAATATTCTTTACCAGTTCCACATACAACGGCAGCTGAATGACTATAAACATCGTCACCGGAAAAAAATGTCGCCATATACAGCAAACTCGTCGTCCATTTTATCTCCCTCGATCTCATCGTCAGCGCGAACGCCATCGAACAGCAGCTGAAATCCGATCGACAATTTCAGCGGCAGCGTGT